CAGGTGTCCAGCTGGCTGATCCACCCGCCAGCACCTGCCCCGGGGGTCTGTGACCAGGAGAAACCCACGGGAACCAGACAGGGTTGTGATTTTCCAGTGACATTCAGGGTCCAAAAAAGAGAAAGCTTAGTCTTTTCAGCAAGCCCTTGTCCACAGACAGCACCCCATTGCCATACAGTGCTTTTAGTTAGAAAATGGTATTTTTCTAAAGCCATAAAATTAAAATCCTTCTCATCTGCACTCTCTGAGTTTCTCAGAGGGCTCTCTGGAATCCCTGGGGAACTTGTATGTGCCAGGCACAGAGCTGAGCACAACTGCCCAAGCAAAGACGCAGAGAAAAAATTTCCTATCCCAACCTGCAGATACTCAGAACGTGATTATGGGAGGCTGTGGGATCCTGGGGTACAAGCCAAACCCAGATATGCTTCCAGTTTTCACATATGGTTTTCTCTCCTTTTTCACAGGCCAGACCAAAACCTCAGCTCTGGATATTCCAGCTCTTGAGCATTTGAAATCTGGGGCCCATGTTGACTCTAAGTTATGCAGTTTTGCCCCTTTGAGTCACAGGGTTGTGGGGAATTGGCAAAAGGGTGAGGTGGAAAAAGCCTTTATTTTGTTTCACAAAAATTCAGCTATGCTAAGTCAAGAAACCATTGTCTTTGAGAAGGACAGCCTTGCACATTCCTCCACACATATCTGTAACCATTTGAACATCCAGTGAGTATAAACTCAGATTTATACAGACACTGATTACACTTGTCAGAACCATAAAAATTCAAGACACTTTAATTAGCAAGGAGTTATTTGTAAGAGGTGGTGTGAAAACTAGCATGAAAAATACCTGAGGGAGTATTGCTGGCATCTGCTGAGTAGTAGTCACCACTCAATTACTGTTGTACTTTGAATGGATGCTGTAACTGTTCCTGTAGTCTTTTCAGAGTCTTTTAGTACTTTAGCATCAATTCTTACATATATGTATGAATATACTGCCCAGATAAAGGGACAGTAGTGTCAATAAACAGGATCTACCTGTACATTTCTACATTTTTGCTGTGGTGTACGGAGAAGGGTTATTTTTTAAATGGCCATCTTCATCCTGGCAAGAGAATAGGGACCAACTTTAAGTGTGAACTGGAATGCTACAGCAATTCCATCAGCAGAAGTTATTTAAGCCACACTGGCTTTATTCCCTCAGAGGCCAAGAGCTGGACATGGCAATATGTCTTTTCTCCTGACTGGGAACAGCAAACTCCAGTGTCAGCTCAGAGATCCCTGGGAGATGGGTGAAGCTGATTCCTTCCTGCTAAGATGCAGCAGAAAGAAATGCACCAAACCTGTAACAACCTCCCTGTGGTTAATTGTGCAGTGTAACTGAATTTCAGCAGGCTTTGAATTGTGCTGTGTCTTCTCATTGCTGGTGCAAGCCATAAATACACAGCAGATCTTTCTCTAGAGACAAGCTCATAGTATGTAGCCTGTGGTTTATGCAGGTTAATGTTTATAGAGAATATTTTTTCTATCAGAATTTTCTAGCTCTTGAAATATTTTATGCCATGAAACAGACCAGAAGCAAATTAAAAAGGCATTAAAATTCTTTAGCTGAAGATCTGGCTATGGTAAAGAAGTGGCATCTTCTTCAACACATCTACTTTGTGTATATTTGTATTCAGAGTTAGGTTTGCTGACCTGCCTGAAAAGTCGTTTCACTTCCATAAGCAGTGAACAAACTGACACAGGTTAATGAAAAGAAAACAGATCCTCCTTGAGCTCACTCAGCTCAATGGAAGGGATCCAAGGTGTATCTGTTTCAGTCAGGACAGCAGGTTTGGACAGATGCTAAGGAAGCCATCATTTTAACGATATATGAAGATGAAAGTTTCAACTATCTAATCTCATTGGAGTTCATGGAACTGGCTGTGGATGTTAGGAGGGAACTATATAGTTGTTCTTAGCATGTTTGATCTGGAAATCACAAGTAGACAATAAATACAGGATCCCACACTGCCATTTTTAGTGTCACATTTCGGAGAAGAACTGCACTTTAACAAGGTTTAAACTGCAGTTTGAATGTTTTCACAAGTGCTTTACAGTGTTGCCACTTTGCCTTTGGGAATTAGTTAAGATGTGCTTTGCAGAACATGGAATCATAGGACAAGGCAGTAAACCCTGTAATAAACACTTGTCCGTGCTACAACCAAGCTGTTCTCAGGAGTGTTTAGAAGAACCATGTTTGTAACTACATGCCATAACAGGGACACAGACTGAAAGTGTTTTTTAAAAGTTAAGTCCCTTTAATTACTCATTATCCATAAAATAGTTCTCAAGATGTAATAGGAAAAGAAACTAAAAACACATCATGATTTCTTCTTTTACTAACAAACTTTAAGGGGTGAATATAGGCATTAAATGGTCTGTTTCATGTTACAGGAATCTGACTAGCTTCTTTTAAAAATCATTAGTTAAAAGTGATGCAGAGACAGTCCTTTTGTTAACAGAAATCATTCATTGCAATTTGTAACAGTGCATAAAACTGGAGAAAAAGGAGCACTTTCATTGGGCAGACTGAAAGCTACTGATACCACATTGCTTTCAATCTGTAATGATGTGCTTTTGGTAGGACATCAGCTTATTGATTCAGTAGTAGACATATTTCCAGACAGGTATTTATCTTTCCCTGTTTTTTATCCACATTATTTGTATTGCTGTCCTGGATGTTATGATTGTTATAAATCTATTTTTGTTCCCATGCATCATTATAATCACCAGGTCTATAAATGGCTGTGCTCTTTCAGCCTGTCTGCTATCTGGAAAAACTCACAAGTTCAGACCAGAGAGTTAGTGCTGGCAGGTGAATGCTGCATGGCTGAGTCATCTCAATATATCAGTGTGATGTTTATTGAGCCCAGGCAACAAACAGTGGGAAGACTGTGGCTTCAGGCTTGGGACTCAAAGTTGACCACACATTTCATTTAGAGAACACTCAGAGCTTCGTCATTAACAGATTTCTGTCAAACTCAGGAGAAGGGTGATCTCAAAAAGATCGATTGCCTCTGAAAGCAAACATATTACTAGCTGCAAGAATGGAACAATCTGGCATTCCACTATGCTGCTACAGCAGTCCCTTAGAAATGAATCTGTTTGTTTAAATTGTACGAACTGATCATTTGGACTACCCTGGGAAAACTTTGAAAATGGAGGCTTCAGAAAACCTGATAATCTAGGGACAGTGCAGTGGTTCAAGGTAGCAGGAAAGTAAGTTTCAGATTTTATCAAGGTAGGTGAAAACCCTTTTCCCTCATACAATGCAGAAACCCTGGGAAGAAGATCTCATGCTAACATATGCTGAAGGAAGAGAAAAGGCATTTAACTAATCATGTTGTCAAAAATACCCCTTATATCTAAGCAGATAATTTTAACTGTTTTACCTTGCAAATGGTTTTGCTTTTTTTTTTTTTTTCTTTATTGAGACCTTGGCTCACTTTGCAAATCTGAGGCAGATATGAAGTGCTAATATACCAAAAGAAAAACCTCACTTGTCAAACTATGTATCTAGAAAATAGGATAGAAAATAGGAGCTTGTCCTGTCAAAACAGAACTTGATTTGGATTATGGGATTTGAGGGTTGTAATGGTGCAACTGAAAAATTAGAGTAATAGAATGTGCATGAAGTTACCAGCTGTAAACAATGAAATATGAACATCTCATCCAATGTTGAAGTGAAGAAAGCCATACATTCTTTGCTGTTTGGGCTTGCCTACCTAGGGAATTAACTCAGCTTGTGAATCTGAAAAGTGCTGGTTCCCTGTGTGACCCTTAGCTTGCAAATAATAATATCTCCTTTTCAGTCACCTTTCAAAGTGGATTCATACCACATCACTCATCTGGATCTGTGGATTTTTCTGGTTGTGTAAGCAACTTAAACGAAGGAGGAGCAGACTCCTAGCTTTCAGATGGTGGTAGTTGAGTGCAAGCCCTGTTCCTCTGTATGGTGACCACCAAAATGCTGCACCGTATATTTGCATCCCAGCCTGCTTTGCTCTCACTCCGACCTACAGGCAAACAACCACAAGAGTAAGGGATGCTGAATGGCTGGGAACTGAGCAATGATAGTTTCATTTAGTCATTCCTGCCTTGGCCTTTTTGGCCTTGAAATTCTTCCTACCTTGATCTCTGTGGCATCAGGAGGCTTCTTGGCAATGATTCAGATGCTTTAGGCACTCAGAAAGCTTTAAGGTCTTCTGAAAAATTCAGTTGTAACCCCCAAACATTTGATAAGAAAGTATTCATTGTTCCCAGAATCAACATTTCCAGTTAAACCAGTACTCCAAAGGAGACAGCACACACTTTACCGAAAGCTATGGAAACTGGAACTGAAACAAGACAAGC